CTCTGAGTGAGGTGAATGACTTACCTCTGAGGATAAACACAAGGTCAAGAAGGAATCTTGGAAAACTTCTTGCCCAGTCCCCTCCTCTTACAGATGATAATGGTAGTGATAATGATTCTGTGAAATTGTAGGCCCAGTGTTTTTTTTTAATCCTCACCTGAGATATTTTTCCAATTATCTTCAGATAGAGTGGAAGGGAGGGAGGGAGAGAGATAGAAACATGGTTGTGAGAAACATCGATCAGCTGCCTCCTGCATGCCCCGCACTGGGGGTTGAACTTGGGCATGTGCCCTTATGGGGAATTGAACTCACCACCTTTTGGTGCCCGGGAGAACACCCAACCAACAGCCACACCACCAGGGCAGGCCTCTTTTTTAAAAGTACATCCCTCCCATGCACCAAAAGGTGGCGGATTAGATTCCCAGTTATTACACATGCCTGAGTTTTGGGTTCGATCCCTGGTCAGGGTGCGTGCAGGAGACACTTGATTGACGTTTCTCTCTCACCGTCTTTCTCTCTCTCTCCCTTCTCTCTAAAAATTAAAAAGGAGTACAAAATTACACATACAAACTTTAAAAATATTTTTCTTTATTGATTTTAGAGAGAGGAAGGGAGAGAGAGATAGAAACATCAATGAGAGAGAACATCAATTAGCCCTGGCCAGTTTGGCTCAGCGGTTAGAGCATTGGCCTGCGGTCCAGAGAACATCAATTGGCCACCTCCTGCATGCCCCCCACTGGGGATTGGGCCCACAACCTGGGCATGTGCCCTGACCGGGAATCAAACCAGCGACCTCCTGGTGCATGGGTCAACGCTCAACCAGTGAGCCAAACCAGCCGGCACAGGATACAAATTTAAATAGAGGTCTACAGAAAGGCCAGGCAAGTGAGGGGCTTTGAAACAATCTTCTTCAGCTTCACCCAGCTGGTGTGGTTCAGTGGCTAAGCATCAACCATGCACCAAGAGGTCACCAGTTTGATTTCTGGAGTTTCTGGCTTGATCCCCAGTAGAGGGCGTGCAGGAGGCAGCCAATCGATGTTTCTATCTCTCTCTCTAAAAATCAATAAAAACAGCCCTGGCCAGTATGGTTCAGCAGTTAGAGCGTCAGCCCACAGACCAGAGAGACCCAGGTTAGGTTGCTGCTAAGAGCACATAACGCGGTTGCAGTTTGTCTCCAGCCCCGGTTGGAGTCGTGTGGGTGGCAACCAGTAGATGTGTCTCTCTCACATAGATGTTTCTCTCTCTTCCCCCCTCTCTCCCTCCTGCTCTGTCTAAAGATAAATGCAAAAAACAAACCAAAAAATTCAATAAAAACACATTTTACAAAATCTTCCAGCCCGGCTGGTGTGGCTCAGTGGTTGAGCATCGACCCATGCACCAAGAGGTCACCAGTTTGATTCCCAGTCAGGGCATATGCCTAGGTTGTGGGCCTGATCCCCAGTGTGGGGAATGCAGGAGGCAGCTGATTGATGTTCTCTCTCATTAATGTCCCTATCTATCTCCCTCTCCCTTCCTCTCTCTCTAAAATCAATTTTAAAAAATTTTTTTAATTAAAAAAAAAAATCTACAGCTTCACTGTAACCCTATGTGCTCTCAGCTCTAGATACAAAATGCCCCAATCTGACCCAGATGGTGTGGCTAAGTGGTTGAGCGTCAACCCATGCACCAAGAGGTCACTGGTTCAGTTCCCGGTCAGAGCACATGCCCAGGTTGTGGGCCAAATCCCCACGTTGTGGGCCAAGCAGGAGATGGCCAATTGTTCTCTGTCATCGATGTTTCTATCTCTCTCTTCTCCCTTCCTCTCTCTCTAAAATCAATAAAGAAATTTTTTTTAAACAAAACAAAATGCCCCAATCTGTCTCCCCTCTCTCATATGTTGAAACATTAGAGGCTCTCAGCTAGACTGTAACCTTAGATAGGACCCCTGCAAAGCCCTCCCCCCATGTCTGTTGAGTGACTGAATAAATTCTTCCATTTCTTCTAGTGGTAAATAAATCTCAGGCCAGACTCACTCTGCCTTCCACTAGGGGACGCCCAACACCAACCAGAGGTTGTGACTAGGTTCTAAAGGAGAAGGGGGCCTGGGGACCTGAACTTCTGGTTCCTCAGAAGAGGTTGGGGGTCTGGACTCCTGAGTTGGAGGGAGAAATCTGGGGTTCCAGACTCCTGAGACTACGGGGTCCTGAGGGGAGCAGGACTACGGTAGGGGCCTGAGAAAGGAAGGAGGAATCTGGGAAGGGCACCAGGATTGGTTGGAAGCAGAACTGGCCTGGGCAGAGGTTTGGTTTGGCTTGAGTCTGTGAGAAACAAGTGGACAGAGCAGGGATTGTTCCTCCAGGGTCCCCCCCTCCCCAGCACCCCCTAGGTTTGGCAGCCTTAGCTCTTCCCAGGCCCTGGAGACTTAGGGACATTTCCCACAACCCCTCCCCAGGGCCCTTGTTTTCCATTAGACTCACAGCTACCCAGCCTCAGGACCTGGGAAAACCGCCTCAATAGTGCCGAAAGGCTGACTGGAGGTTAATACCAAGCAGCTTAGGAGAAATACAGGCCCTGGGTCGTCAGAGTTCAACAGTCCCATCCCCTAGGACCACCCTCTACTCTGTCAAAATCCAGGAGTCCAGGTGCCCAGCCCCTCTCCCCACAGGCTCTAGCACTGGCCCCTCTCAGACTGCAGAGGCTCTTCTTATTTGCACACCCTGTGCTTTGGGCCTGCAGTTCCCCACTGCCCAGAGACCGCCTCCCAATCACTAACCACCCCACCCAGACCTGGAGGCCAAGGGAGTGGCCCATCCTGTCCCCCACTCCCCAACAACCACAGCCCCAACCACACTGCCACTGTGACCAGCCCAGCCAGGTCCTCATGGGGGCCCTCCCTGCACCGAGTCTACCACCTATCCAAGGCGGCTGCACCCAGGCCTTGACATCTCACTTCCTGTCCTTCCCTCATTGCCTACCCTGCTGTCTGAGGCCATCCTCTCCATTGGTGGGCTTGCTCATCCTCCGCCACCCCTCCCCCCAGCCTCTCCATTTGTGGCCTCAGCTCCTGGCCTTGAGTAAGAGCTTAGGAAATGTTAAGCCTGTTGCTAATAAGAAAAGAATACCTTGGCCAGGTAGCTCAGCTAGAGTGTCATCTCGGTATGCCAAGGTTGCCGGTTCAATCCCCAGTCGGGCACATACAAGAAGCAACCAATGAATGCATAAATAAATGGAACAACAAATCGAGGTTTCTCTCTCTCTCTCTCTCTCTCTCTCTCTGTGTGTGTGTGTGTGTGTCTTAAATCAATAAATAACAAATTTAAGCTCTGGCCAGTGTTGCTCAGTTGGCTGGGTGTTGTCCTGTGCACCAAAAGGTCACAGTTCTATTCCTGGTCAGGGCACATGCCCAGGTTGCTGGATTTGGTCTCCGGGGTGCATATGAGAGACAACTGATCGATATTTCTCTCCCTCTCTCTTCTTCTCTAAAAAAAAAAATCAATAAAAAATACTTTTTAAATTAAAAAAACCTAAAAACATACCACAAATCTTTAATTACTAAAACTGTATGGAATTGGGTCAGGACCAAATCAACAGCTTTTTGAGGGGCACATGAAGACAGGACTGCCTCTGTCTTTTCCCTGCTGTCTCTGTACCCCCAGGGCCTGGTAGGGTCTCAATAAACGCATGTGAGATGGGTGTACAGCAATTGTCATGGAGCACCGCGCTTGCGGGTCTATCGTCCTGGGTCCCAGCCAACCTGAGCACTGATTTTCTATGCTCAGCAAGACTTGTGGGCACCAGTCTCCCCTCTGTCACGGGAGTGTTGGACAGTTCCATGCGATGGGTGGCACATTTTTTTTTTTTTAATGTTTTTTAAATTGCCCGGCCAGTGTGGCTCAGTGGTTGAGCATTGACCCATGCACCAAGAGGTTGTTGTTCGATTCCCACTTAGGGCACATGCCCAGGTTGTGGGCCAAATCCCCAGTGGGGGGCATGCAGGAGGCAGCCAATCAATGTTCTCTCTCATCGATATTTCTATCTCTCTCTCCTCTCCTCTCTAAAATCAATAAAGAAAAAAATGTATGTATGTATGTATGTATTTATTTATTTATTTTAATCCTCACCCAAGGACATTTTTGCATTTATCTCCAGATAGAGCAGGAGGGAGAGAGGGGGAAAGAGAAAGAGAGAAACATCAATGTGAGAGAGACACATCGATTGGCTGCCACCCACATGACCCCAACTGGGGCTGGAGATGAACTGCAACCAAAGTATGTGCCCTTAGCGGGAACCGAACCCGGGTCTCTCTGTACCGCAGGCCGACTCTCCAACCGCTGAGACAAACTGGCCAGGGCAAATTTTTTAAATAAATAAATAAAATGTTTTTAAATTGATTTTTAAAGAGAGAGGAAGGGAGAGGGAGAAAGAAAGAGAAACATCAATCAGCTGCCTCCTGTACGCCTCCACCCAGGATTGAGCCTACAGCCCGGACACATGCCCTGAGCAGGAATCACACCAGCAACCTTTGGTGCACAGGATGACACCCAACCAACTGAGCCACACTGGCCAGGGCTGGATGGCACATTTAAAGTGTCATCCCAGGGCCTGGACACTGCTAGAGGCCATTGCAGATTAGCTGTGTTCATGGTTTGTCATTCTACAGATGAGAAAGAAGGACCTTAATGAAGAACGGGCTCTAATTTTGTTATCATTTAGTGTTGTTATTCACCTCTCTGTCCGCCTGACCAGGTGAGGGCTACATGCATAGGTGCATATAATAGGCGCTCAGTAAATGTTCGCTGCAGCTGCACGAAATGAATCCCTCCATCTTAGCCCCTGAGGTCTCAGGAAAGCAACCACATCAAAGAGAATAAACTTGGCTTTTTTTTTTTTTATTGATAAGAAGGCTCAAGTTCAGAGCAGGATGCTGAGAGTTGCTAGGAAGTGGGGGTGGGGGTGGTCAGGGAGCCAAGGCATTGCTGGGGTCTGGACTGTCCCCTCGACTGTGATTGGGGACCCAGCTGTTACTGTTCTCCCTTCAGCATAGAAAGGACCTGGTCAGTAAAAATCCCTGCGTAAGTGGTCACAGCTGCAGTGCTTTTGCTGTACATGTCCCTGGGGAAAAAGGACAGAGGGTCTGAGTGGGGAGGGGCTGGGGGCCTGGACTCCTGGGTCTGAGGTTAGAGGGGTGGGGGTGGGTGATACCTGATTTTCTCATCCATGGAGGGCAGGTAGGTCTTCTCGTACAGGTCCTGGGCAGTTGTTTTGGCTGTATCCCAGTAACCAAGGAGTGATTCCTGCATCTGGGAGAACAGCGTGGAGCTGGTGGTCTCATCTTGCTGTGGCACAGGGATGCCCTGGACCTCTGCAGGGGGGAGTAGGTTAGGAGAGCTGATGGGCCTGCAGCCTGGGCAGAGTGAGCAAGCTGGGCAGGAGAGGAGGGGGCGGGACGGGGCCAGACAGGAACTCGGATGGGAAGATGCTTAAGGCTCATCCACCTCCCGAAGAAGCCCTGCCTCCCTGCCCACCACACTCACCAAATCCCAAAACCAGGAGGATGAGAAACACAGCCAGGAGGTATCGGGTGCCCATGGCGTCAGAAGACCTGGAACACTGAGGAGGGTGTCAGGCAGGGCCACTAGGGGCATCTATTCCTGCCCCCCCAACTCAAAGGGAGGGGGTTGGGCTCCCCCTCTCCTACATCCCCACCCAAATCAACTTCCTCATGCGTTGGCTTGGGCCTCCCTGTCTACTATTCTGTGATTCTACTCCTGATTTTAACGTCGTGATTCTAACATCCATTCCTTCGCTCAAGAAGCATTTCTTGAGCATCTACTTCATGCCAAGCACAGCTCTGGTCCTGCCTGTGAGAAGCTGACACGAGAGGGAAAAACAATGAACAAATATTAAACGAGGGAAGTGGAGTGTGTGCCATGGAGATAAGTGCTCCGAGGGGGAAGGGTGCGTTGTGAAGCCTGGAAGCCTCCGCTGGGGGTGACACTTAGGCTGAGACCCGGTCAGTGCAGGGACCTGTGCCACAGACCCAGCTAAGGGCCCCTGTTTGGATGAGCATGTCTCTGCTGCCCTGTTCTACCCACTTTACTCATTCAGTCTGTGTCATTGTGACGAGGTGGGAACTGACCCTGGAGGGGGACCAACATGGGCAACCGCTCTGCAATTCTAGGTGCCTGGGTCGATGCTCAACCACTGAGCCACACCGGCCGGACTGTTCTATGATTCTAAATTCCATGTTTCTAGTCCAGCTGGTGTGGCTCAGTGGTTGAGCACCCCCATGCACCAAGAGGTTGCCGGTTCCATTACTGTGAGGACACATGCCCAGGTTGTGGGCCTGATCCCCAGCGGGGGGCATGCAGGAGGCGGCCAATCGATGTTCTCTCTCATAGATGTTGATGTTTCTATCTATCTGTCCCTCTCTAAAAAATAAAGGACCCAAGAAATGAGAGGTCCTGCCCTGGCCGGTTTGGCTCAATGGTTGGAGCAGCGCCTGCGGGGTTGGAGCATCGGCCTGCGGGGGCACGTACCAAAAGAAACAAAACAAAAACAACAACAACAACAAAAGAAGTGAGAGGTCCCACAGTCAGGGCAGATGCCTGGGATTGCAGCCTCAATCCCCGGTGGGGGGGCGTGCAGGAGGCAACCGATGGATGCTCTCATATCCATGTTTTTATCTCTCTCTCCCTAAAAAAAAAAAATTCCGTGTTTCTGACATCCGGACTCTAACAATCTTGGCTCCCTCCCTGCTGACCACCCCCCATTTCGGTCCCTCTCTTACCAGACTCTGGCAGGCGGTCCTCACCAGCTCCCAAGCACAGAAAGGCTTTATAGTTCCTGGGATCCACCTACCCTCCACCTGGCTGCCTAGGCCAAAGTCCAGGCCAACAGAGCCACTGAGGGGGTGGGGTAGGGGCACAGAGGACAGTGACTTCCCCTGAGGTCAAGCCACAGAGAGCCCCACTCTGAAAATTCACTTCTGAGAGAGGCAGGCTGTGTGGGGGCTGCGGAGCGGTTGGGGCTTTGGGCGTCCGCCAGGAATGGGATCTGGGGTCTTCACTGAGTGGGAAGTAGAGGCAGAGCTCTGAATGAGGGGGTCACTCTGGGGACTTGCCAAACCTGCCCCCTCTCCAGCTTCCACCCTCCATTCCCAAACTGAGAAGACCGAACTCTCCCACCCCACACAAGCCCAAAGGGGGTCTCAGGACGACGGAGAGGTCATCCCCCACCCCTACCCTGACTCCTACCCCTCCATCCCCACTCCCTGACTGCCCCTCCCTTGCTGGGTGTCACTTCCTGCTTCCTCTGCTCATTAACTGCTGGGGGTGCATGGGAGGGTCATCTCTGGCCTCATTGAGGACAGACTGGGACAGGGACACAGACAACAATTTCTTTATTGTGGAGGCTCTGAACACTTTAACCCTGGTCCTTGTTCCCACAAAGAAGTTGGGGACATAGGCTGTGGGCCTTGTTCAGGAGGTTGTCCTTGGAGCTGCGGAGCCAGGCCTGGGTGCGGGGACCCAGGTCCTTCAGATGGTCCTCGTAGTAGGTCTGCACAAAGCCCCGGACGGCTGTGGGGACCCTGTGGGAGAGGGATGTCACAGTTGAGACCCCAGCTACCCCCACAATTTTGCCTCATTCACTCCCTCCTCCCTCAGACCCAGGAGTCCGGGCCCCCAGCCCCTCCTCCCTCAGACCCAGGAGTCCAGGTCCCCAGCCCCTCCTCCCTCAGACCCAGGAGTCCAGGCCCCCAGCCCCTCCTCCCTCAGACCAGGAGTCCGGGCCCCCAGCCCCTCCGCCTCACAGACCCAGAGTCCAGGCCCCCAGCCCTCCTCCCTCAGACTCCAGAGTCCAGGCCCCCACCCTCCCCTCAGATCCCAGGAGTCCAGGCCCCGAGCCCCTCCTCCCTCAGAACAGGATTCCAGGCCCCCAGCCCCTCCTCCCTCAGACCCAGGAGTCCAGGCCCCCAGCCCCTCCTCCCTCAGACCCAGGAGTCCAGGCCCCCAGCCCCTCCTCCCTCAGATCCAGGAGTCTTGGCCCCCAGCCCCTCCTCCCTCAGACCCAGGAGTCCAGGCCCCCAGCCCCTCCTCCCTCAGACCCAGGAGTCTTGGCCCCCAGCCCCTCCTCCCTCAGACCCAGGAGTCCAGGCCCCCAGCCCCTCCTCCCTCAGATCCAGGAGTCCAGGCCCCAGCCCTCCTCCCTCAGATCCAGGAGTCTGGGCCCCCAGCCCCTCCCACATACACTCACCGAAACCACTGCCATGTCTCTCTGGTCTTTGTCACCAGCGGCTCCATCAACCCCTTCACCTTGTCCCGCACCAGGCTCCAGGAACTAGTCGCCTGCCCTGGCGGGGGGCTCGGGCTCGGGGAGTCTGTAGGCACTGCTTGCAGGCATTCTAGGTGTGACAGAGGGCAGCTTGGGTAGGCGGGGGTCCCCAAACCCTGCTCCCTCCCTGCACACTGTCGCTGTCGCTCCTGGTGGCCAAGGGCAACCCTTTGCCAGTCCTCTCACCACCGGCCTTCACCTCCTTATATGTCCCTCTCAGCACTGGCCCTCCTTCCGCCATTGGTCATCCCCTTTCACCCTCTAGGCCTGTGGCCCCTCCTGTCTCCCCTCTGCCTGCCTATGGTTTCTCCCTGAGTCTCTCCCTGAGTTTCTCCCACCACTCTGACCCCTGTCTCTCCCCCGATGCCTCCTTCACTGCTGATCTTGCTGCCCCCTGCTCTCCTGTGACCCCCACACTGAACTTCCTCCACTGTCTGTCGCCCAGGGATGGAGGCTGGCAAGGCCGTGCTGTCCTGGTGGGCACTGCACTTCCCCATACACCCTGCCGGTGCTGCACCCCTGCACCCGGGCAAAGCCTGGCCCAGAGGGCAGCCACCACACCAGCCACCACACGGTGCGGAGGTCCCCACATGACCTGCGCTGTGCCCTCGGCCAGGGACTTACCCTGTTCCAGACTCAGTTTCTGTAGATGGGTAATGGTAGGGTTATCGTGGGAACTCACTGAGCACGCGGAAGGCGTGGGGAACGATATACGTGTTGAAACTGTAAGTGCGTGTGCACAACCCAGATGTGCTCGCAGTGCACACACACCCTCACGTGGACACACTCAAAGCTTTTCCATAAAGACCCCATGAAGAGCCCGGCCTGTGTGGCTCAGTGCTTGAGTGTCACTGGTCCGATTCTGGTCAGGGCACATGCCCAGGTTGTGGGCCTGATCCCCTGCGGGGGGCACGCAGGAGGCGGCCAACTGATGTTCTCTCTCATCGATGTTTCTATCTCTCTCTCCCTCTCGCTTCCTCTCTCTCTAAAATCAATAAAGAAAAAAAAAGAGCACACGTCTACCAACTGCACTACACATCACAGTCACACTCATCTCACACTGCTGCGGGGTCCCCACACCCCCCCCCCCGTTCCTTCTCACCCACAACACAGGCCAGGACCACAGCGCAGAGGAAGAGGGAGGGCAGGGCCCGAGGCCTGTGTCCGGGGAGCAACATTCCTGGGGGCTTGTGTCTCTGTGCTCAGCAATCAGGGCTGGGGCAGGGGCAGGCTGCACCAAGCAGAGCCCTCCCCTGGCCACCTCCCCACGCCCCTTGGCAGGGACTTCAGAGAGAGGGACCCAGATGGCAGTGACAACCAGAGGCTATTCCCGCCCCTGCTGGCCTCCCTGCTTCCTGTTTTCCCAGCACCTGGCATGACAGGGGAAGGCAGACCCTTCTTCAGTCTCCTGTGCTGAACCAGGTTCAAATCCTGGCTGTACCTCATGTGACCTCAATTCTGGCCTCAATTTCCTGCTCTGTAAAATGGGCCCACAATCCATGCTTCAGGCAGGACATTACATCAGTGAGATAATACAAGGAAAGGTGTTAACACAGAGCCTGGCAAGGAAGGTGATCATAGATCACAGCTGTTTATGATTATTTCTTTCCTCTCTAACATCTCTTGGCTATAGGGCCAGACACAGCCTCCCGCATGGCCTGGGCAAGTACATCCCCTTCTCTCTCTCTCTCGGCCTCAGTGTTTTCATCTGTGAAATGGGGATGGTACGAAGCACCTGCCATGCAGTGTTCAACTGAAGGCTGGGTGAGGCCTGGGAGGGAAAACTCCAGATGTGCATAGTAGGAGGTTGTCACCATCTGGTTGGGGCAACTAGACAGAAAGAAAATGAGCCTTTTTTGCCCTGGCCAAGTAGCTCAGTGGATTACAGCGGCATTCCAATACGCCAAGGTTGTGGGTTTGCTCCCCAGTCAGGGCACATACAAGAATCAACTACTGGCCCTGGCTGGTGTGGGTCAGTGGTTAGAGCGTTGGACCGCACACCAGAGGGTCATGGGTTCGATATTTAGTCAAGGGCACATACCTGGGTTACAGGTTCAATCCCCAGCTGCATGCGAGAAGCAACCAATTGATGTGTCTCTGTCTCCCTCCCTCCCTCCCTTTCACTCTGTAAAAATCAATGGGAAAAAATATTCTCAGTTGAGGATTAACAGAAAAAAAAAAAAGAATCAACCAATGAATAAGTGGAACAACAAATTGATGTTTTTTCCTCTCTTAAAAAAAAAAAACCAACGTAAAAGAGAAAATTATTTTTAAAAAGAAAGAAAATGAGCCCTGGCCGGTTTGGCTCAGCGGTTAGAGTGTGTACCCACGGACTGAAGGATCTCAAGTTTGATCTCAGTCAAGGGCACATACCTGGGTTGCGGGTTTGATCCCCGACCCAGGTTGGGGTCGTGCAGGAGGCAGCCAATTGACATGTCTCTCTCATGTTGATGTTTCTCTCTCTTGCTCTCCCTTCCTCCCTTCTACTCTATCTAAAATCAATGGAAAAGTATCCTTGGGTAAGGATTCACAAAAAAAAAGAAAGAGAGAAAATGAGCCTTTTTCTCCTGGAGGACCAGCTCTGAGCCAGGGGACAGGGCTCAGCCAGGGGACCACGGGCTGCAGTCCTTGTCTAGGGTTGCCAGGTTAACTGCAGGGTGCCCAGTGACATTGGAATTTCAGATAAACCATGTATTTTATTTCTAGTATAAGTATGTCCCACTCAACATTTGAAAATTATACTAAAAATTATCTGTTGTTTATCCGAAATTCAAGTCTCATGGGGCATCCTGTATTTTGGGGGTAGAAAATCTGACAACCCCCACTTGGCCCCAATCTGAACGACTGCACAGGACAGTCCTGACCCAGAGGCCCCCAAAGAATGCCGTCTGTTCCACGGCCCAGCGTGGGCTCTGCACACAGTAGGTGCTCAACACATGTTCCTTGGATTTCCTCACTAACAATTATCAGCAAAATAAAACCTCTTAGAGTTTTGTTTGGGATGATGAAAAAGTTCCAGAAAAGGATGGTGCTGATGGTGAATGTACTTAAGGCCACTGAGCTGTACACCTAAGAATGGTTAAAATGCTAACTTTTATGTTATATAGTTTACCATGATAATAATCAAAAAAGAGAAACTCACCCTGCATTGTATTAGGAGAAGCAGCATAGCTAGGGGTTCAGAGCCCAGCTCCACCTCTTTCTGGCTGTGTGACCTGGGGCAAGTGCTTCACCTCTCTGGCCCTGTTTCTTCCTTGGTGAATGGGAGCCATGGACGACCTGCCCAGGAAAGTGAAGATCGTGAGGTCAAGTGCCGTGAGCGGTGCGGATACGCCACAGAGGTGCTGGTCAATGTCAGCTGCTGTTTGTTAAACTTGTGTTTCCTGAGCACCTGGCGCAACCGCAGGACCTTAGCAGGTTAACTCACAGCAGCCCTGCGAAGTGGGCGTCTTTGTCACTCCCATTTTGCAGATGAGGAAACTGAGGCTGCCAGAGTGGGGGTAAAGCCACTTACACGTGGCTCCTCAACCAGCAAGTGGCGAATTGGAACCCAGCCACCTCACACGACCTAACCAAGCCAGAGCAGCCCTGCCCCACCACCCCGCCTGCCCGAATCCTAGAGGGCCAGAGGGAGGTTGGGGCAGGCTGGGGGTGGGCCTTCAGGGAGGTCTCTGACCCTTTGCCCCAGCTTCAAGGTCAGCGTGGGCTGTTTGCTTCTTGCAATGTTTGCCCACCTCAGGGCCAGGAACGGGCTGAAGGTCGTTCAGGGTGGACCTCAGACGCAGCTCAAAAACAACTGTGCAGGAGGGCGTGTGTTTTGGGGGCAGAGAGCTCTCTAGGAGGGTGTGGGGGTTGTGATTTGCGAGTGATCGGCCCAGAGACCCCACTGTGTGTGTTTGAGGCTCTCTTCAGAAGCGGAGTGCGCCTTGGCTGGGTCGTTCAGTTGGTTGGAACGCGGTCCCGTACCCCAGAAGGTTGTGGTTCGATCCCCAGTCAGGGCACAATAGCCCGAGAACGGCACTTTGGACATTCTACCAACCTAGACAATTTCTGTCAAAGGCAAGGAAAATAGGCTGAGGTTCCTTACATCCAGGCCCCTTTGCACTCACATCACACCCCTCTTTATGCGATTCTTGCTCCCCCTCCCAAAGCTTCCTGTTCCTCTAATCCTTCCAAATGTCCCTCTGAAGACAGCGCACTAACTTCTGTTTCCTCCTTTGACCCAGCGATCTCGCTCCACCCCCTCCTCCTCCAGCCCCTTGTGTGGGCCCCCACCCTACCCTGAACCTCCTAATCTGCCTCCAACTCCCTCACACACGCAATCGGGAACCATATCTGGTAACTATCAGTCCCCTACCGCAGCCCCCCGTTTTATTTATTTATTTTTTTGGTACGTGCCCCTAGTGGGAACCGAACCTGGGACTCTCTGGTCCACAGGCCGACACTCCAAACTGGCCAAACTGGCCAGGGTGCAGCCCCCGTTTTAGAATGCCCCCTGACAGAAGCAGTGGGAACTAAAGGGACTGTCAAGAGTTCATGACCCCTTCTCTCTCTCAGATTTGTCCCAAAGAAATAAAAGACTAGGATCCTTTACTCTGAAATAACCCAGGAAAGGAGTGACAACCCTGCAACCTTCCTATCCCGCCTTACACAGCCTATGAGAAGATAGACCAACTTAGACCCCACTAGCCCAGAAGGGACTGTCATTTTATTTATTTATTTATCCTCACCCAAGGACATTTTTCCATTTTTTTGTTCAGATAGAGTGAGGGGGGGGAGAGAGAGTGAAATATCGACGTGAAAGGGACACATCGAATGGTTGCCACCCGCACGACCAACCAGGGCCGGGGACAAACTGCAACCAAGGCACATGCCCTTAGCAGGAACCGAACCCGGGTCTCTCTGGACCGCAGGCCGACGCTCCAACTGCTGAGCCAAACCAGCCAGGGCGGAACTGTCATTTTAAACCTGAGATTTATCTCTCAGTCGGCCCCAGGCATTAGGAGAAAGTCACAAAAACTTGAAGATGACCCTCAAACCCCTCAATGGGAACTTCTAAATCTAGCCTTTAAGGTGTTCAATATTCATGAGGAGGAGGCTAAATAGCAAAGAACAGCAGAATTCCAAATGCTTGCCTCGGCCATCAGAGCCCCACTAATCAAAGGGGTCAGCAAACCCCCTTCAAGGGACAGATCAGCAGAGCGAGCGGGCCCCCAGGTACCTGCCGTAGGTGTAATCAGACTGGCCATTGGGTGAGACAATGCCCCGACCCCCGACCACCGCCTGAGCCATGTCCTCAGTGTGAGGGGCCCCACTGGAAGTCGGACTGCGGACAGACTGCGCAGTCGGTCCTCATCCCTCCTTGGGCTGGCAGAACAGACAATCCAGTCGTCCATCTGATAGGCCTTGAGGCTGAAGTCTGAAGGTGCCCAGGAACGGAGACCTGACTGTCATCTTGAACACCGAACCTCGGGCAACTCTGATGGTAGCAGGTAGTTCAATTTCATTGTTTAAAAATTTTTATTGATTTTTAGAGTGAAAGGAAGGGAGAGGGAGAGATAGAAGCATCGATGAGAGAGAACATAGATTGGCCGCCTCCTGCATGCCCCCCACTGGGGATCAGGCCCACAACCTGGGCATGTGCCCTGACCGGGAATCGAAATGGCAACCTCTTGATGCATGGGTTGATGCTCAACCGAGCCACACGGGCTGGGCCCAATTTCATTTTTAATTGACACCGGGGCAACCTACGGTGCCCTCCCCAAGGTCAGGGGACCTCTTCAACACTTTGGGGTTTCAGCTGTGGGAATTGGCGGCCAAATGTCACAGCCCAGGGTAACCCAGACACTCACTTGTTCTTTTGGCCCTTGTATCTTTGACCACTCATTTTTAGGGTTACCAGCCTGCCCCCCTCCCTTGTTAGGGCGAGACATTCTATCTAAACTCCACGCTACTTTCACCTTTACTCCTGTCCCCACCAACCACTCTCATTCTTTTCTTTGTCTCCTCCAAGAATCTGCTTCCGTTTGTCCCAGCCCTGGTTGTGTCCTGCAGGAGGCAGCCACTCGATGTGTCCCTTTCACATCGAAGTTTCAATGTTTCTCTCTCTCTCTCTTCCTCTCTCTCCCTCCCACTCTATCTGAACAAAAAATGGAAAAACGTCCTCGGGTGAGGATTAAAAAAAAAAAAGAATCTGCTTCCTCTCCTAACATAAACCCCTGGCTGCCCCTCAGTCCCCTGAGGGGGCAGGACGGCCTTGCTGGCCTCAGGTGAAATACTCATCATTGTTTTTTAATCCTCACCCGAGGACATTTTTCCATATTTTGTTCAGATAGAGTAGGAGGGAGAGAGAGAAAGAAACATCAACGTGAAAGGGATACATCAAGTGGCCGCCACCCGCACGACCCAACCAGGGCCAGGGACAAACTGCAACGGAGGTACGTGCCCTTAGCGGGAACCAAACCCGGGTCTCTCTGTACCGCAGGCCAACGCTCTAACCGCTGAGCCAAACCGGCCAGGACTACGCTTATCATTTTTTCATTGACCAGGGAGGCGGGGGAGGGGAGGGGAGGAAAGCCCCTAGGGGCTCTCGGTTCTGGCATCTGCCAGGCACAATCAGTTCTGGGGACAGTGCCAGGTGGGGAGTTCGACTGGGGCGGTACACCTGTCAATAGATAACGCAGGTGTCCTAAGAGGGGCTCAGGGAGGACAGAAACCTCCCATGGAGCAGAAGGGCAAAGGCCCCCTGATCTTGATTCTCAGCACCATGTATAATATCTCTCACTATAACCTTACGAGGGGCGTCTGTAATCTCACTATTCATGATGTGTCTAACCCCTGCAATGGGAGTTCATATGTGCAAGCTCAGAGGGACTTGATGCAATACCAAAAAAATCATACCGGTCAACAGCGGTGAAGCCACGCTGCCTGTCTCCAGTCTCTGCCTGCGTCCTGTGACCAGTCGTAACTGCAGGCCAACCTGCGCTACGACCCTTCACTGTGCCGCGAGACAGAAACAGACATGAAACAGCCCACAGGTCTGCTCCACACGACCACCGCACCCTCCTGCACGGTTCGTTTTAGAAAACCATCGTCTTCAGTAAGTGAACTCATCATACAAGAAGCCATGATGCGACTTTAAAAGGACACCTGTACCCGAGAGAGCACCCACGCTTGACTGGCCGCTGTCATTCCTCACTGGAGAAGGGCCCGAGTTCCTGCATTTTCCCCAGGCCGTGGGCGGAGCAGGGACTGTGCGGGGGTGGGGGGGGGCTCTGTTCTGGGATGATGGTACAGGGCATGAGGGGTCGTGTTCAGGTGATGGACATGCTCTAAAGCCCAGTGATGGGGACGGTCGCACAACTCAGGAAGTTTCCTGAAAGCCACAGATTGTACACGTAAAGCTGGCCACTCCCGTGGTGTGTCCATTTTACCTCAATAAACGGTTTTTGAAAGGAAAAAATCATACCAGGGAAATGAGTCAGTATCCAGGGTGCAGTTCTGTGTTGGCACTAGCCCTCCCCTCCCTCTATCATGGTTTGATCATTGGAGCCTTCCTGTGGGTCTATCAAACACCTCCCTAGGCCCAAATATGACTGGACCGCTTTGCTTACCGGAGGGAATGATGTTTTTAGGTGCACTAAACATTTCAGCCCCCAGGAGAGGAATTGCTATTCAATGCCCAAACCCAGAGAAACCGGGTGGCTAATGGGCAGTAGGATATGTCACCCCAGCCAATACTTTAATCCATTTCCTCATCCCTAATTCAACCTCATCAGGCCCTGAGCCCAGAGGCCATCATAGGGCAAAAAAGGGGAGTCGGACACCTCATAGCAGGAGTCACAGCTGCAAGTACCACTGGGGGACTCGTGGGAGGAATTACTTACGATGCCATAGCAGCAAAAAACATAACCGCCACCATGGCAAATATAGGTAGAGGCACCGGTGAAGATTTCAAGCTTCTTTAAAAAATCCCTCAACTCTCTTGCCTGCATGGTAATCGCATTGCATTGGATTATTTACTAGCCAAAGAAGGAGGTTGTATGCATGATAGCAAATACGTCTTGTTGCTTCTACGTTAACTCGACTGGACAGGTCGAGGAAAGGACACAATGAATTCTAGGTAATGCCCAGTGGCTAAAATAATTGAGTCAGGGTCACCTAGCCCAATCTATCTGGACAAGTATAGAAACAGCCTTGCTTAACTAACCTGGCTACTCCCCGTCATAGGGCCCCTAGTATTAGCCTTCTTACTATTGCTTTTCGGACCCTGCCTCTTGCGCCTGATTACTAGGTTTGTATAAAATCGACTGCAAATTTTAGTCAACCAGACAGTTGGGCAAATTGTGCTAGCACAGGTAAAAGGACCCTGTCACCCCATGCCCCAAGAAGTTATCTAACACATTCTTTTTGGGCGTCCATGAGGACCCCACACCTGCAGGAAGTAGACAAAGAGAAACTTTGCCCCCTTTCCCTTTCTTATCTTCGTTATGAGGTGGGAATAAAAGGGTTAGTAATGTTTTAAAGGGTAAAGGTAAAAAGTTTGCAAAGGGGGAAACTGGAAATTGTGTTGCTTGCATGACATTTGCTCAGCCTTTTGTTGAGTATGGATAAAGTTTATTTGAATTATCTGCAAGGCAATGGATAACCCAGCAGATGCCAGATGAGATACCAGGCCAGCCCTACTGCAAGGTGGACAACGGGCCAGATGAATTACATCAGCAGGAACTGCTGGAAGCTAAAAGTAGGGTATATAACCGACACCCCCAACCCTAATTCGAGGCTGACCCCTTTCTGGCTCAGCCCGCCTGCACCCAGGCTCACGCAATAAAGCCCTTTTGCTCTGCACTGGCCTTTGATGTGGATGTGATCTTCCGCCGGCTCAGAACTTTTAGTTTCACCAAATATTACTGAACTCCTGCACTATGCCCTGTCCTGGGGACATGGCGGTGACGACAGCTGTGGTCCTGTCCTCCTCAGGCTCACAGTCCAGTGGGGGAGATGCCCATCAGCAGACAGTGACAACCTCGACTGGGCAGGGTTGGGATATAACTGTTTGACTCAGCCAGGGGGTGAAGGAAGGCTTCCTGGAGGAGGGGACTTCAACCCTGAGACTTGAAGGTGGGGATTTCATGGGTCTCTTTCAGGGCCCTCGCCCATGTCCTACCCCTGCTCTCCTCCGTATCTCCCTTCAATATCCATTGAAAATGTCAGTACCTACCCTGTGCATGGTGCTGGATCATCCCAGTGTCTGGCAGCCCACAAGGGAAGAGCTATATGCCCCAGCCTGGGTCCCATCCAGTTCTCCATTTCCTGTGTGACCTTGCACAAGTGACTTCACCTCTCTGAACTTCAGTGCTCTCATGGGATTAACAGGCCCTAGCTGGCAACAGTTCTTGTTCTGATTCTTTTGAGATAACAAAGTCCAAAGTCCTCAGCACAGAGAATGTGCAATACATCTGAATTCTGCTTCTCTTTTTTCGAAGGTGCAACCCCCACCCTGTCCTATAGCCCCTGCCCCACAGGAAAGAAGCAGTCAGAATTCTCTGTAGTATTTTTATTGGGGGTAGGGGGGAGACATGTGGCATAAGGAGACATGTGGCACAGGGGCCAGGGGTGTGGGAAATTAGAGCCCCTCCTGAGGCACAGACATAGAGGAAAGGGGCAGCCCTCCTGGTGTTTAGGAGAAGGTAGTTTTTAATTTGTCCCTTGCTTTGCTGAATGTCTCTGAAATCCAGGTCCTGTAGGGAGAGATGGGGGAGGGAGGGAGGGGTGGGGGAGGGGAGGAGGAGGGGTGTCATTGTGTTTTGCCTCCCCTGGGAGGCCCAAATCCTGCTAGGGCTCCCCCTGCCCCCATCTGTGGAATGAGGAGGAGCCCGCGGCTGGGTGGCCCAACTTCACTTCTGCACCTCAGTTTCCCAGATGCATCGGAGCTCCTTAGCGTCAGAACGCTTTGCCTTGGCCTGGCTTTCAAGGCTTGCCATCTCTTGCTATCAAGCCTCTCTTTAAGCCTGCTCATGCCCTAGTTGTCCCCTATTCATTCAAGGGCACTTTCCAGAACCTCCTGCCCTTGCCTGAGCTGTTCCTTTAGCAGGGAATGCCACCTACTTTTTGATGATCTTCAGTTTTTCCTGCCTCAGGGCCTTTGCACTCACCCTCTACAGGGAACATTCCCAAATTTCTCAGCCTGGCTGGATTTTCCTAATCTTTGGATCTCTAATTTTTAAAATAATTTTTAATTCATTAAAAAATTTAGTTATTTAACCATTGATTTGAGAGAGAGAGAGACATAGATTTGTTCCACTTATTTATGCATTCCTTTGTCAATTCTTTTTTTTTGTACATGCTCTTAGCGGGAACCAAACCCGGGACTCTCTTGCGGACTGACACTCCAACCGCTGAGCCAAACCGGCCAGGGCAATTTTTGTCAATTCTTTTTTTTTTTTTTTTTTTTTAATCCTCACCTGAGGACATTTTTCCATTTTCTGTTCAGACAGAGTGGGAGGGAGAGAGAGGAAGAGAGAGAGAGAAACATCGACGTGAAAGGGACACATCGAGAGGCCGCCACCCACACAACCAACCAGAACCGGGGACAAACTGCAACCGAGGTACGTGCCCTTAGCGGGAACCAAACCCGGTCCCTCTGGACCGCAGGCCGACGCTCTAGCAGCTGAACCAAACCGGCCAGGGCTGTCAATTCTTGTATGTGCCTTGACCGGGGATCAAACTCAAAACCTCGGCTTATCAGGATGATACTAACCAACTGAACTACCAGCCAAGGCTGATCTCAATTTAAAGTGTTATCTCTTGCGTGGAAGTAGGGTACAGACTGACAACCCGCAGAAGAGGGGGCTGTGGGGGGAGGGAAGAGATAAACCACAGAACTTATATGCATGTGTGCATAACCAATGGACATGGACAACAAAGCTGGGGACGGGGCGGGGGGGATGGGGAGGAGGGTGTCAATGGGGTAAAAAAAGGAGAAACATCTGTAACAAAAATAAAATAAAAAGTAAAAAAAAAAATAAATAAAAAATAAAGTGTTATCTCTTCAGAAAAGACCCAGTCACCAAGTCTGCCAAAGCCCCTCTCCAGTCCTTGGTCATTTACACCCAGCCTGTTTATTTTCTCAGTGCTTAGCTGTATCTGGGCTAATCCTGGGAATTCAGTGATTTATTGTCTATTCCCCCCACCCTTGCCCTGGCCCCCCCGTCCCGTCCCCGGCTTTGTTGTTCATGTCCATTGGTTAGGCACACATGCATATAAGCTCTGTGGTTTATCTCTGTGGTCAGATCTCTGTGGGCTGGGACTTCATCTTGTTCCTCACTATTATTCCCCACATTGGAACAGTTCCTGGAGTATAGCAGATGCTCAATAAATATTTGTTTATGGCCCTGGCCAGTTTGGCTCAGCGGTTAGAGGGTCGGCCTGCGGTCCGGAGAGACCCGGGTTCGGTTCCCGCTAAGGGCACGTACTTCGGTTGCAGTTTGTCCCCGGCCTTGGTTGGTCGTGCGGGTGGCAGCCACTCGATGTGTCCCTTCACATCGATGTTTCTCTCTCTCTCTCCCTTCCTCTCTCTCCCTCCCACTCTATCTGTACAAAAAATGGAAAAATGTCCTCGGGTGAGGATAAAAAAATATATATATATATTTGTTTATGAATAAATGATTCTCTAACTCACCAACTGGAGCCAATGTTGGTTAAATACAGTGCCGAGCATTTATAATGTTCTAGGCACTATGCATGTACTCTAGTTTACTTCTTCCCCTCAAAACTATCCATTTTACAGATGAGGAGACTGAGGCTCATGATCACATAGGAAGTAGTGAGTCTTTGCCAGCCTATAGACCCAGGTCTGTCCGAGCCCCAAGCTTGGATCCTTCACCACCAGCAGCACCATCTCTACAGTGTGGCTGGATGGGGGAGTCAGGGAACTTGTCCCCCAAATCTGAGCACCCTGAGATCCAGCTGTGTGACCACAGGGATTTTGTTGGTTTTCAGTCTGTTAACTGATACATCCCCGCACTCCCAGGCCCTGGAAAGGGTACTAACCAGGTCTTCTTAGGCAAGTCGCTCTTTTTGATGTGGTCAACGGCATCCAGGATCTTCTTCTCCACGGTGCTTCCAAAATTTTTCACACTATCTGGGATGCTTAGTTCAGCCTGAGCTGGAGCTGGGCCTGCTCAGAAGAGAGGCAGACGTGCAATAATTTCAGCATTGGGAGCCCTTGGATGAGCTTCCAGGGTTGGAAAAGGAGACCCTTAGATGTGATTCTTGGGGATCATAGAGTTGGGAGCGGGAGGTTCCTGGAGCCACTAGATGATGTTCAAGGTGCTGAGTATTGCCACCTGCTGGACTGCCTTTGAGAGAACCCTGAGAACCCACCTGGCCGCATGGTAGTGGGGGTGATCAGTGGGCAAGAGGGACCAGGGCACAGGCGGGGCCCCAGAGCTCTCAAGGGTTCTCTAAGCCTGGACCCCAGGTCCATAGCCAGCTTCATGCTCCAAAGTCTCAAAGTCCCAGGTTCTCCCGTCCCACCCACTTTTACCTTCCAAAACCACCGCCAGGAGCACCACCAGGACGGGGAGCGACAGGGTGAGCCTCATGGTTGAGCTGGAGGGGCACGCTGGAGGCAGACAGGTGGGGGGAGGGGTGATCAGTGGCACCCTCCTCCCTCCCCCAGGTTCCTCCACCCCCTTTTTGTGCTCTTGGTGGTGTGGAGGGTCCCACTGGGGCACCAACCTGAATCAGTTGCTGGACAGCAGGGGTGGCAGGTGGCAGCCTGGCCTGGCCTTTATCAGCTGGCGTGTGGGCGGGGCATTAATCTACCTCCCCCTGATCCTCCCCTGGTACTTGCCTCCCTGTACCACCCACCTTTTCCTCTTACATCTCTGGCTGGTGGGGGTGGGGGTCAGGTAGGGCACAGGCAAGTCCCTTACCTGAAACTCTTGCTGTTCATTACCCTTCCCTCCAAATCTCCCCACCGCTGGGGCCTCAGCTGGGCTTCTTGCCCGACTCCTGCTTAACTTGGTCTCCCAGCACCAGGGGTCTTTCAGTAACTCTGTTACTTAGTAACTCCGTTCACATTGTGTCCCCAGGTCACCTCTTCCATCCCGTCCTCCCTCTTAGCAAGTCTCTTCCGCTCAAACAACTCTTGCTCTCCGTCCTGGGGCCCACCCACGCCCCCTCATTCTCACATCAGACTAGCCCTCTGGCTTCCCCTCTCCTTGCGTCAGGCAACCTCTCGGGCTTCTCTGGGCGCTCTCTGGGGTCTTAACTTCAAAGTCCCCAACTCCCCTTTTGGGGACGGGTCTTTCAGCCTGTCTAAACCACATACCCTCATCTGCAAGGCTCCCCGTGTGCATGTGCGTGTGCATGTGTGTGTGCGCACGTGTGCACTGAGCTCGTTCTCCTTCGTGAATTCCACCAGGCCCCACACCCTCCCATTGCCCCAGCGCTCTCTCAGCCTCCAGGGCCCCTGGGAACACTCCATCTGTTCTTCTCCCTCTCAGGCCCCTCCTGGCACCAAGCCTCCCCTGCCCCCCTCCCAGCACTACATCTTTCCCCCGGGGCTGGAGTCCAACGCTTCTTCCCTACTTCTTGGCTGCCTTTGACCGCCAGTGACCCCTGGCAGCTCAAGGGAGGGTGGCCCCGGGCCCCACACTCTAGGTTGGCTGGCCTTGTGCCCCCACAACCACGTGTCAGCCTCGGGGTGAGGAGGGATGGTTGTGAAAGAGATGCACAGACCTGACCCTGGCAAGATTGCAACACCCTTCTGGCCAGCTCAGCAGCCTCGGTCGCTGTCAGCCCCCAGCTGTCTGTCCAGACATCTGCTTTCCTCGCGAGCCCAGCATTCCCCAGACGTCCACCAGAACGTCTGCTCCCTTCCTCTTCTGCCCCCAAAAGAACAGAAAGACGTTGCTTTTTCCGTCTCATCCTCGCCTCAGCCATAGGGTTTTCGGTTATAGATGGGGACATTGAGACTCTGCCAAGAACATTCAAAGGCTCAGTGAGGGGCTAAGTGTGGGGGTGCTCTTTGTCCCTCCCCTTCCCAGACTCCAGGCTGTCTCTCCAGATTCCTGCTGGGGTCAGTCTCCGCCCACAGCACCCCCTGCCAGCCTGTTTCCCTAAACTCCTTCCCCCCCTGTCCCACCTCGGCCCTGTCCCACCTCCGTAGAACCCACAGGAGGGGGGGGGGCTGCAGTGAGGTGGGACCACCCCTGCTGTCTTAATGCACGAGAATTCAAAATGCGTCTCTTCAAGTGGGAAACGGATGTTGCCTCCCTCATTGCCATCTGGGGAAACTGAGGCTCTGAGAGGGTTCGGACCAAGCTCCAGGGCACATAGTACTGACTTGGCGGGGACAAGGCCCCCTGCTTCTGAGCCCACTGACCCTTCCCTCCCCCACTCAGTGGGTCAAGAAATGCAGGCCCCCTGCAGACACAAGCTCAAGCACTGGCCTGTCCCTTGTGGTGGGAACGCTGCTCCCCTCCTCTGAGAACCGGGGGAGTGGGAGAGGAGGCACCTGCAGCTTTATCCGGGGCTTTAACCCTCACCCCTGTTAACCCCCAACTCAGTCTCCCAGCCCCGGACTCCGGCGGGCTGTGCAGATAGAGGTTCCTTTCCCGTCTCTTCCAGCTAGGACCCAGCGACCAGGAGAGAAGGAACAAGAATGGGGACAGAGTGAAGGGACTTGTGAACCCAGAGGGAAGGAGAAAGGCAGAGGGCTCAGTGAACCACAGTGGTGGAGGGGGACAAACCCTCATGGAAGAGGGAGGGAAAAGACCAAGAGACTGGCTTGGGGCAAGAGACGCTGAGGGGTCAGGGTGAAAAGGAAGAGGTGGAGGAGAACAGGAAGCCAGAAAATGAAGCCTCTCACGGAGAACAGGACAGAGGCCAGGAGAGGGAAGGAGGCAGAATCGGGTAAGACTGGATGGAGAAAGGGGAAGAGAATAATGTGTAGGGAAAAATTAAAATGGTGTAACAGTAGCAGTGGCCTCTGGTCTTTTGAGTCCCGACGACTCCACGAAGCAGGTGTGATGAGGCTGACAAACCCAGGCTCAGAGAGGTTGCTCTCACCCAGGGTAGGGAGGGCAACTGCAGGATTTAACCCAGGGGTGGATTTGTTCCAGAACCGCATCTCAGGGACAGAACGGAGAGGCGGAGGAGAGTGAGGGGCAGAGACTGAGAAAGGTGAAAACCTCAGAAAGGGCCAGAAGGAAGAAGAGACTGACAGATAAAAGAGGAGATCAAGAAACAGACACACAGTCAGAGGGGACAGGACGGAGAACCATGTGTGGGGAAGGGGAAACTGAGGCCGCGGCAGTGAGGAATCACAATCGGACGCCCTGGCGCTGCGGTGAAGTTTGCTGAACCTTTATTAAGCCGGGGCCTGCCGGGGAGGCAGTGGGGGCAGGGCCAGGGCCCCGCTGGCTGGCGAGGCAGGGGCGCCGAGGTGGCAGGAGCGGGGTCCACCAGGAGGCATGGCCAGCACTCATTGATTCTCGATGGGCACCTCCGCGGCGCTGGTGCCCAAGGTGCTCTGCATCTTCGCCACCAGCTCGTCCCACTGGGTCTGCATGCCTTGCACCAGGGGCTCGAACCAGTTCTTGAGGCGGGCCTGGAAGGCTTCGGCCTGCAGGCGCATCTGGTTGGTCTGCTCCTCCACCTTGGCCTGCAACTCTTCCATCTGATCGCGCACTTCGTCCAGGCGGTCGCGGGCCCGGCTGCCCACCATCTCCAGCTTGCCCCGCAGCTGCTGGCCCCAGGCCTCCAGCCGCTCCCGCAGCGGCTGGCTGGCGGTGACGGCCCGCACGTGGCTCTCCTCCAGGACCGGCAAGAGGCGCTCACGGATGATGCTGGCCCCGCGCTCCGCGCCCTCGCGGGCCCCGGCTTGGTAGAGGGCCAGGCGCTTCTGCAGCTCCTCGGCGTCGCGGAGCAGCCGTTTGCGCAGCTTGCGCAGCTGGGAGGCCAGGCGGGCCCGCACGTCGTCGGAGTTCTGGCCCAGCATGGTCTGCACCTCGCTGCGGTACTGGACCAGGCGGGTGCGCACGTCCTCCATGTCGGACTCCAGCCGGGCCTGCGCCGCCTGCAGCTCCTTGGTCAGGCGGCTGCGACCCTCCTGGGTCACCGGGCCCAGCTGCTTCTCCAGATCCTCCTTGTACATTTTCACCTCCTTTATGGTCTCCTCCATCAGCATCCTGCGGGCGGGGAGGCCGGTGGGAGCGTGTACACGCAGACAGGAAAAGGGTGAAATATGGGGTGGGAGAAGGGAAGATGGGGACAGAGACAGAGAGACCCAAAAGAGAGAGGCCGGGCGGAGACCGAGACGGAAGCAGAGATGAGCGGATGAGCTAGAACGATGTTGGCAGGCAGAAAGGAACAAACCAGAGATTGGAAGAGCTGAGAAAGAATCAGAAAGGTAAAGCCAGCAGTTCAAAGGGAAAGAAGTAAGAAATGAACAGGCCCCCCAATTCCAGGCCAGGAAGCTGAGGGTCTGGGAGGAACTGCACACCAGGAGGGTCAGGGCCAGGGCGGGGACACTCACGTCAGCTCCTCAGTGACCTGGGTGCCGAGCAGGTCCTCCTGTACTTTGTTAGACATCGTCTGTACCCAGCGCAGGTAATCCCACAAGCGGCCCAGCGCCTGCTCCCAGGGCTGGTTGGCCTGCCACCATTCTGGCTCCTGCACCACCTTCACCTCCTCCTTCACCTCCTCCACATCGGCCAGGCATCCTGCACGGAGCAAGTGCATGGCCGTCAAGGTCTCTGCTCTCTTCAGGCACACAGTAGATGCTCCAGAAATGCCCGTGTGCTTCTTTAGAGCAATGATGGGCGGGGGGTGGGGGTGGGGGTGGGGTGGACAAGCATGTACTGAGTGGCTGTGTGTACTCCGCACTGGAGTGATGGAGAACAAAGATATTTGCAGCGGACTCTTATGTATGTAGTGCTCACCACCTGCCGGACAGTAATTCATTGGAAACTGTTATAACTCCCATCTTAAAGATGGGAAAACTGAGGCCCTGAGAGAGTAACACAGCTGCTCAGAGCCAGTGTGTCAGAAGAGGGCTTGGCTTCCTCTGAAGGAGAGAGACCAGCAGAAGGGACACAGGGATAGAAGGGGTCAGGGGGTAGAGGTGAGGATGGGAGAGGGAGGGGCAGGAAGCCTGATGAAGCACCACCCATACCTGTCAGGAGTGCCAGCACCAAAGCGGCCCACAGAACCTTCATCTTCAGCGAGGTCAGTCTGGGGCAGGGAGAAACTGTCAATCAATAGCCAGTGGGGACTCCTCCCACTCAGAGCCCCACCCACTGGGTCCTGGCCTTCCAGGCCTCACTTAGCCCCAGATCTGCATCATCGTAATCCCATCACAAACATTTACCTAGCAGCCCCCTCCATTGTCTAACTCCCACATTGTCCTCTCCTATCTCATCTCCGGGTCCTCCAGGTCTGGCCTCCTGACCACAATTCCAACCCCCTCTCTCAGGGTTTAAATTCCACTCACCCCTTCTCCCTGAGTTCCAAGTGAGCCCCAACTGGGTGTTCTAAATTCCAGTCTTGCATTTCTTGCTCTACCTGCACATTCTAAGCTCCAACTTCACACCCAAGCTCCATCTTTCACATATTATCTAATTTAATAATTTAAAAGTCCTCCTTCTAGCTACCTACCCCTACCCCCAGCCTCCAATTAGAGATCTGAGGACGAAGGGGACACCCAGTGGGTGCTTAATAAGTGGGTGACAATTTGTGGGGTCTTGCTATGGCTCATCTGGTTCTTCCACAGGCCAGATTCTCCCCCCATCCCACCTTCTAGCCCTTCTAGCTGATTCAGAATGCCCCTGTGTCCCCCATCCCTATCCCAAGGTCCAGTCCCAGCCTCTGGTCTCCTCCCCAGCTCCTGCTTTTGTTCTTAGGCATAGGACGGTCACCTCCTCCCCAGCTTGTCCCCCATAGAGCCCCTAGACTGGTCTCTGCCAGAATTCTCACCGGCTGCTGGGCAACTGGTCCTTCGCTGCTCTGGCTGAGTAGGACTCCGGGATCCCAGACTCCTCCAATTATAGGGCTCCCCCTGCCCCGCCCATTCCTTCAGGGCTAGGGCGAGCTGGGCCAGCCCCCAGTCACGAGGTGGGCTGTTCTCCCCCTTCACACAGCAAGGAGGGGGAAGGGGGTGGGGCTTGGAGGCCCTGTGATGCCCCCAGCCCCCATGAGGGGAGGTGACATCTCACCCTCAGGCACCCTCCTCTATTCTGGGGCGCTGGGCATGGAAGGGGAAGTCAGCCACTGAGAACAGCCTCTGGATGAATACATTCTGGGGAGGAGGCTGGGGGCCTGAAATCCTGGGCCTGAGGGAGAAGGGAGCTGCTGGCAGACATGAGATGGGAGGGGTGGGGACAGCGCAGGACATCTAAAAGCCTACCTGGGCTTTGAGAGTGAACCCTGGGTCTTAGCCTTAGCTCCCGTTGACTGTGACCTTGGGCACAGATGAACGCCTCTCTGAGCCCCTGGCCATATTTGTGAGTCAAAGTCCAGAACAAGCATTGCAGATTCCAGGAGCTGCCGAATAGCCTGCCTTCCACAGGGCTGGGAGCGCTCCTGCTGCCTGGTTAGGACTGGGGACTCTGGAACCACACCACCCAGCCTGAATCTGAGCTCTGTCTGCTGCCAGCTGTGTGACCTTGGGCAAAGGACCAAGCCTCTCTGAACATCCAGTTTCTGGTTCACAAAACGGGGGAAACAGCTGCCCTTACACCATCGTTCAGTGATGCAAGAAGCTACAGTAAGTCCTCATTTAACCTCATCGGTAGATGGTCCTTGGAACTGTGGCAAAATGTTTAACCAAAGCAATTTTATCAGGGGCCAATTGATGTAAAGAAGAGTTAAGTTCCTACAGTGTCTCATCAATATTATGAGGAAATGACGAACAAAACGTTACTGGAGAACCTGCTGACCTCCTTGTGTGATGCAGAGAACAACCTTGGCACAGCGGGCCTTGTATTAGAACTAACTGCTGCAACTGGCCACGAGCCCTGCCACTGTCACCTCCCTAGCAGCTGTTTCATGAATCCAGCTGTTGTTTCAGGAGGTTGAGTCGAGGTGGGTGGGGAGGCCACACAGGAAGAACTAGAGTTAGGATTGGATCCCAGGGGGTCAGGGGAGGCCAAGTCCTGGTCCCAGGAAGGGGGCCTCAACCGCAGCCAGGCTGTTTCTTTGGTCTCAGAAGGTGCCGGCAGGGAGAGTATCATGGCTTCTCCAGGCTGTAAGGGTTCATTTCTACCCAGCAGCTTCCCTTCCCAGACCCTGGGGAGGTTGTGGGTGGCAGGCAGGGTTTCAGTTCCCACAGGGAGGAGCCAGGGGTGTTTACCTGAGCCCTAGGCGGACCAACTGATCTCCCCTACTCCCCAGCATCAGATACCTGAGACACCGGTGACCCAGCCTCCACTCCTCCCCCTGGCCCAGGAGCCCTAAACTCAAGTTCTCCCAGGGCAGGCACAGTGATTCTGAAATCTTTCCAGGTGCTTGTATCCTTCATGAGAATTCTGGAAGGTCCGACCTCCCTAGCAGAAGCCCTAATTCACCCCAGCACACACTGCCCTATTTTTGTCTGGTCCGTGGGCTGACACTCTGCTGAGCCAAACCGGCCAGGGCAGGTGCCCTTTTCTGTTGAACCTGGAAAGCTCCTGGAGCACCCTCTGCAGCTCCCACCCCGGCACTAAGATAGCCCCATCCTGTTGCTTCAGCTCCGCAGGCGTGAAGTCCCCTGCAGCGACCTGGGCCAGGTCCAGCTAGAGCCAGTGACCACAAGACCGCACCCTACCAGACAGGGAAGGCCTGTGATGTCCCAGGGAGGCTGTGATCCCAGGAAAGGCTCTTCCCTTCTCCAAGCCTGGAACGACTCCCTTTCCAGGTCACCCTTCCGAATTCCAGCCCTGTGGCACCCCCTACTGGCCACTGTGGGAAGATCAGGCTGAATGGAATGAACAAAAAGGGGAACAGACTGGTAGGAAAACCAGGCCTTTGATTTCATTTTTTTTCATGTATATTTTTTGTTTGTTTTTTTTCTGTAAAATGTCCCAGATCTTCCATAACTTATAAACATGATTTATACCGAGGAGTGGATGGGAAAGTGGGCGGGGGCAGATGGGGATGGGGATGCTCCTCTTCTTATTGCCCCTTGGGGCGGGGCCAAGGCCCTTTGGAAGGTGGAGACGCCTCAACACCTCCCTGAGGTTGTCTAGCCGCCTCTGCCCCTGGCGCTCAGAATCTGGCGTGCCCCTCGATTCCAGAACCCCTTCTGACCCCAGGCCCACTGGGCACACAGTCCCTGGTGCTCCGAATCCTGAGGTGCCCGTGGTTCCAGAACTCCTCCTCAGCTGCTGGGGCGATGGGTCCCCTCCTTTCTGCTGCCCCCCCCTGACCACCAAGGAGGGAGGGAAGGAAGAGGGAGGGGCGCTTAGGTCTCCTCTCCGTGCCAGGGGGAGGGGGAGGGGGATCTCAAGGAGGGAAGGAGTGGGAGGCAGGGGCCAGGAGGGGCTCAGCCAATGGTGAGGCCAAAGCCGCACTGGAACTTGTTCTTCCGGTGATTCAGGAAGGCCCCGAGGGCCAGCGTCAGGGGCAGGGGCGGCAGCTTCTTCTCCAGTGAGGCGCCCACGATCCAGTTGCTGTCCACGGAGCCTGTGGGCAGACAGCTGCGCTGAGAGCCGTGTGCCAGCTTCCCAGTCTCGTGGAGTCGTACTCCAGGCCACATCAGACACCACCAGCCAGTCTGCAGGCTTCCAGACCTGTGACCATGCTGTTCCCAGAAACCTCTTCCTGTACCCCAAGTACTTCAGCCCTAGGAGTAACCGGCTTGTTTCCCCTCAGCTCAGTGAGCCCTCCCCTCCAGGGAGCCCTCTGCCACCCCAGGGGATCCCCTATCCCAGTCCTGTCCACCCCAGGTCCTTGCTCTCTGGGGATGTGTCTGTCTTTCCTAGTGTGATCCCTGAGGACAGTTTGTCCCAGCGCCCTCGGCACGAGGCTGGACACAGCGGGTGCTCAGTGTCTGCTGGATGAAAGGCTGAACTGTCCTTCGGGCTCGTCTGCCAGAGATGACAGATGTGCACCTGCCTGGTGCCATCCCCTCATGGGAGGGAGGCTCCCTCACTTCCTGGGAGCAGAGCAGCAACCCCAACCCGGCCTCTGCTAGCAGAGCAAGGGCCAAGGCCAGAGGCGAAGAAACCCCGGGCCTCATCTCTGTGGGTAGCAGCCCTGCCCGAGGCTGACTAAAGCGGCCTGTGGGGTGGTTTTCATACCTCCCAAACCCGAGAGCCACTGAGGTCTAAGAAAGACTTCAGACTGGACACCAGGACTGGAGGCAGCCAGCCTGGGAGGAGGTTCTGGGCCTGCTAGTGACTGTGCCACCTCCAGGAGCCTCCTTTCCACTGATGTGAGATGAGTGGGGTGGGGCGGATGGGCTCCACGTGGGTCGAGTGCAAACAAGGGAGCGGGCTGCGGGCTGGGGAGGAACGTGGTAGGGGCGAAGCTCAGGCCCAGGCTCCCACCTTAACAGGCGTTCCCAGGTGATCTGGAGGCCCTCAAGAATCCCAGCACGATGCCCAGCACCATCTCCTTTGGCCTACACCCTATCGGAGCCGCGTCACCTCTGGTCTGTTTGCCATGTGGGGAAACTGAGGCCTGTACCTTTGAAGAGGAGGTTGGCCTTGGGCAAGTCCAGCTGGTACCCGAAGGAGACACTCGTGTCTTGCATCCTTGTGCTGGCCTCAAACTCCACGCCTACCTGCAGCTGGAGGGGCCAGGGCAACAGAGTCAGCTTCCCAGACTGGACTCCCGGCCACACAGCCCCTGGCAACCCATGCCTGAGGTGCGCCCTCGCAGCCGGTCTCTGGACCAGCTCACCTGGTCACTGGCTTTGTGGTAGTATGTCGCATGCATGCCTGCCTGGCCCAACGTTACTGTCGCCAACCAGTTGTTCACTGTAAGACAGCAGGGTGGGGGGTGGGGAGAGGTTACCAAGGGGACTTAGCAACCCAGGTCCCCCTCTTCCTTAGACCCAGGAATCCAGGCCCCTAGATCCCTCCTTTCTCAGACGCAGGGGTCTGAATCCCAGCCCCCACTCCTGCCCTTGGGCCCCAGGCTCACATGTGTATTTCCCAGCTAGAGACATGACAGTGCCCTCCTCCCCGGGCCGCCGGTGGTAGACCAGCTCTCCGCCCAGGGCCAGACACGGCGTGATACTCTGGAGGTAGTGGGCCACGAGGATTCCTGTGGGTGAGAGGGCAGGTGTTACCTGGGTTTGGTAGTCAGTTTCTGCCCGGCCGGGATGTCAGGCCAGACACGTGCTCCAGGCAGCCTGGAAGGCTGGCCCCTGCCGGAGGCTCAGGACCTGCCCTCAGGCCCCTCACACCCACTTCTAGATGGAGAGTTCACAGGGCTATGAGGTCAGCCTCTCAGACCCCGTGGGACCTCATCCGGTCTGCACAACCCCGGTGTAGCCGGCATTCGATCACCACCATTTACAGAGGAGGCTGAGAGAGTTGTCACTCACCCGTGGTCACAAAATGTGTGTGAGCCACTCTGCCGCTGGGAGAGGCAGGAGGGGAGGGCCAGGGAGAGCACACCTCCGGGTGCGAGAGGGCACTGCAGCCCCACCACTCGCCAGCAGAGTAACTGTGGGCCACTGGGGTCACTTCTCTGAAAGTGAGCCTCAAGAAGTAGCTGTGAGCAGAGTGTGTGCCCGGCGCTCAGCGATCGCTAGGACTGAGCCTCTGGCCCTCGAGGTGCCCGGAAGCCCCCTGAGTGTTTGCTAGCAGATGCCTCTCCGTCACTAGGCTGAGACTCATTCATCCTGTCTTTGGAGCCCAGGAGAGTAGACCCCACAAATGTGATCCTGTAGGAGGGGAAGAACCAGGGGGAGACGTGGTGGGAGATGCAGAGGGAGTGGCAGGGAAACAGACAAAAGATGCCTATGGAGAGTCAGGGAAGCAGAATGAGGAAGAGAGGGCAGCTCTGGCTGGTGCTGCTCAGCGGTTAGAGCACTGGCCCTCCCACCAAAGGATCA